AGTTGTCAGAGCCAGATTTGGGCCTTGTGTTGACGGAGGACAGCAGCTCTTAATTGACAGTGCTTTGTTTGGGGGAGTTAGCTTGAAGGGGGTGTATCCTGGTGCTAGTCAGTCAGGACCCGGACCCCCTAGACCCCCTAGACCCCCGCGCTCATTTGTTCTCCATCTCGCCTTCACATTATTAAAATCATCCCTCAACCCTGCACCAAGAGTCTCTTTGTTACTCGGCTGCCTTGGCTCCGGCTCTGTCAAGTCTTCACCAATTACAGTCTCAGGTACAATGGTCTATTCACGGGATCACAGCCCTTGACTGGTTCGGAGAGAGTGATTTGTGATCATTATTCAAGCACCCGGAGAGAACAACGCCGTACCTGAGGAATGCAAATAACGTGCCACCAAATAGACAGCTGTGCGCCCAAAGTGACAAACTACAGCTGTTATTATCTCAGATTGGATTTTTCCCCGCTCAGAGCCCACCGCGGTCTCCTGTGTTTCACGTTTTGGGATCTGACTAAATGTGTTTTATTTTGCACGTTATTACAGAGACATTAGCCAGCTCCTTATTGCGGTGGCAGTCAAACGTCAGCCGAACACACACAATAAGAGCGGAGAGGGAAATATTAGGGTACGCTTCCTGTCTGGGCTAATAGATCTGAGCAGAGCACATGTGAATATGTGAGGTATTGTCAGGAATAAAGGTCCACGTGATTCTCTTCTGACCCACTGTAACTATCGGACACTTTGGCTTTCATGTCCAGATGTTTGATGGACTATTTACGGAAGTGACAATAGTTCAGCTAGTTGAATTTTGTCCTCTGATTCAAAGGTTAGTGGTTCAAATACTCATTACGTGTTCATGGTGTCGCTGTGTCCTTAGGCAAGACACCTCTCCCCCAGTATCTGTGTGTGGTTCCTTGATATAAAGTCATTTGAGTGCCTCGAAGGTGGAAAAGCACTATATAAAAATGTGACCATGACTAAGTTATGCCAATCTGGACATTACTAAAATGTAATCAACTAATCAGCACAAGATACACACCAACAAAGATGTTTAAACTGAACTTTGTGAGTCTAGACCAGTCAGTCAGTCGTTTGCTAAACCAGACTTCTTCTGGGGCAACTGTGCATTTGTGCTCTTGAAATGGAGCACTATTATTGAAATAACTAAATATAACACTATATGGATGTTTAAGTTTGTCGATCATATCTATTTATGTTTATTTTGAATATTTCCTGCAGTGCAAACATAAAATTAAGCAAAAACTGCCCAAGTTGAATTAACACTTGCATAATGTTCTTTGTCATCAGGGTCGATGTAGAGTCCATAGACTGTATAATAGAAGAGGACTAAGCGAGTGTGACGTCACCCATCACGTTCAGCGCCGCTTAAATGAGGCTCGTAATGCTCACGGTTACAGGAGCAAATCTGGAGCCAGGCTCTATGTTATGAATAGGATTTTTTGATGGACAAATCAGTGAAAAAAAAAATTCAGGTTCATGTAGAGCGGGCTAATACGAACATTTTAAGCCCAAAATGACGAGGCTCAATGCAGCAGTTACAGGGAGACGAGCGACAAGATCCCAGTGTAACTCAATTGGAGCCAGGGTCAGAAGGAGCCGGAAGAGTCTCCTGGAGCAGTTCCTATTTGGCACGTGGCGGCTAGTGCGTTACCTATGTCCGCTCATGTATACGGTCTATGGTAGAGTCACAAGTTCTAGTCCTTATTGAACCAAGCCATGTCCCAGTCCCAGTTGTCATTGTTCAAGGCCCAATCCAATTCTAGGTCATTAAAATAAGGTCCTATGAGTCATGAGTCCAAGTCCAGTATTTAATTACTCTGTTTGTCACAATCTAAAACCTTTGACTCAAACACTGCTCAGTCAGTAAAAGACAAGAAATACCTCATTGAAACTAGCAACATTTTTTCCACTTAATATGTCAATTAAGTCAATTTCTTATTCTGACATTACACACTAGTTTAGTAGATATTTTTGATAGTCTGTTGTGCAATGAACACTTTAATTATTTTTCAGTACTTTTGCTTAAGTATTTGAAAAAAGAAAAAAAACAAAACTTTTTTTTACAATAATACCTTGTAGTGTAATGGTGTGTAGACCAAGTTGGACAGCTCTGACATCAAGCTGCAGATCAAATCCAGTCAGGATTGAAGGTAAAGAAGAGTTAGATGCTCCTTCACTCACAGTATTCAAGTATTTGAAATTAATAAAACCACTGAGCTCACTGTTGATGATTTAGTGACTATTTCTCTTCTGTTTCAGAGACCATGGGTCCATGGGTCAACTCTTTTCACCTGCTGAGGTCTAAAGCACTCTATTCTTTACTCTTAGTCTATAGTTTATTTTTAAATAATTATAAATTATAGTTTTTATTATGCATGCAATGGTCTTTACTTTTTCTATTTGTTGTCCTTTTGTTTTGAAATAACATATACACATATATATGTAATAATACACTTTCTAAAGATGTTTCATATAATGTCTACAATATATTATGTCATTTACTCCAGGTTCTTGTTATTTAATTTAATGTGTATCTTTCCAGTACATAAACCTGTTGCCCTACCTGACCTCTTTCTGCTCATGTAACTGTATTGATCAGATTGGATGTGTGATATGGTGCTGTAGGTGATAAAATGGTGACATTGTTATTGGAATAGCCGTAGTATTGAGGTGTCCTGTCCCTCCTACTCTTTGATTCTTAAAGGCTTTAAACAGGAAACTCGGATTACACATAATGATGGGGGCCCTCTAAATCAATCCAGCCCAGGAGCCCCGTGTGAGAGAATAGATCTATGTGATGTTGTTTGGAGAAATCTGACCAATCACTGGCCTGGGATTCTCGTCCAGCTAATCTCATAATTGCCCTAACTCCCTTGTATTGTTCTGGCCGAGGGTTACCATTAGGTGCAAGGATATCTTTGTCCGCAATGTCAGGCGTCCTGCTGCACGGGAACAGCAAACCAGAGGAAAATGACAAAAGTGTTTAAAGTGAGGGGAGTTTCAGACTTCAGAGCTCGGAATGAACAGAGAAGATGGCCACAATGAGACGAAATAAAGCCGTTTCCGACACAAATTAAAGTTAAAAATTTAGCAGTTTTCCCATTTGCGTGCTCTGAGTCTTATTACTTTTAGTTACGCTCACACTGGCCTAAAATGTGGTAGAAATTAAATCAATCTTTATAAATGATGTACTAATCATGTCAATGTGAACTGCTTGGATGCAATCAAGACACTTAATTTCAGCACCAAATCAAATTGGAGTTTGCATATTTCTTACTCTAACATTCCTACCCTTTGGAGGAAATAACCCATGTAATATAATGAGATGCCATATCGGATCTAAGCTTTTTTCCCTCGGTAGTGTGCTGGGTTCTTTTCTTTTTATTTTCTATGTTGACTCATCTGATGACAAATATATTTAGACTATAATACTAGAATACTGTATTTAAGGTATAATTGTTTATGCCCAAACAAAAGTGGTTTATATAAATATTTGCTCAGACTCAGACGGTGCTTCATCTTTTTAAAATTTAGGCATTTATTAAGTTTTATTTTAAAAAAACAGCAAAACAAAAAAGTGACAGTGTCTAGTTTAAAACACTAGACATACACTAATAAAAACTGTCCCATTGCTCAGTCACTACTTCATCATTTACATTTACCCTCCCTGGTTTTCTCACACACAACACTGTCTATTCTCATATTCATTCCCAAAATTATCCTGGCGCCTGTCACCAGTCCAGTAATCAATCAATCATGTTATCATCCTTTCCCAGATAATACGTAACCTGTTTTCATTTTTATATAGTTCTTTAAATGACCCTCTATAACCATCTCTTACCGCCCACGCTAGGCCTGTCACGATAATTACTATATCGACTTATCGTTCAATATATGAAAGCTGGAACAATATATTTTTTGGGCTCAATATTTATCATATGTACAGTTTCTTTGCAGTCATATTTTTTGTGATACAATAAATTTTGAGCTGTAGAGGGTTGAATAAGTCACTTTTACAACTAATTATTGCTTCATTTGATATTTATTTGTTGCAGCTTAATTATGTTTTATATATGTATCATAATTTCAGTATTATCATTTATTGTTATATTTTTCTGTTGGAATATATTGTGCTTCAAAATGTGTTATCGTGACAGGCCTAGTCCACACCACTTTCCACTACTAATCTACATCAGGGGCCTCTCCAGCCTTTTTCTTCCGGTGAGCTACCTTTACAAAAACAAAATGCCAAAGAGCTACTAATTTTCCTGTGCTCACAAGAAATTGAGCATAGGAAAGCCTTCGATGGGGAACAGATAGATACCTTTAAAACATAAGCCTTTATCCATTTATTAGTGCACAAAGTTAGGCATCAAAATTATACATTTTCAATAGTAGATGATCAAATTTGAGTCATTCAGCACAATATGTATAATTCAGAAATCCTTTGGCGAGCTACTTGGAAAGAGGTGGAGAGTTACTGGTAGCTCCCGAGACCCCTGATCTACATTGTGTCTATTCTCACAATTGGTGGTCAAGAGCCAGTTTTCACTATTTATTAACTGTACTTTGCCATGAAATAACCAAATTCAAAATTCAACCATCTAACATCTTGTATACTTGGAGATGTCATTGCTTTGCCTCGAATGTTCCATGGTATGACTTTAAACATTTCCATACAGCATTTATTCATTATTACAAGTATTTTGATTGCTCAAAAATGCACTAATTCCTTTTGTGAATAGAGGACAACTCTCCACAGATCTAAATTGTAATGCACTGTACTAGTGTAGTGATGTAACCTGTTTGTCTCCCTTGTGATAGATAAGTTTAAGCAGGTGGCGGACCCTCCACTAGAAATATTACGTGTATCTTTTCAAACTGTCCCCCGACTGCATTAAAATGTATTCACCTAGAGAATATTGTGGTGTCATCTGAACCTCCCCACCCTGTAATCCCTCTCTCCGTGTGTTCTTCAGGTTGGTGAAGATCAAGGAGTGGGTGGACAGTCACGACCCTGGTGCCCTGGTCATTCCCTTCAGCGGCGGTTTGGAGAATCGGCTCCAGGACATGACGGAGGAGGAGAGCCAGGCCTACTGCTCGGAGCACAAGACTCAGAGGTTAATTAGCATGCAGTCCCCCAGCACCGCACTATCACGCGTGTCCTCCATGCACTCCTTTAATTGCATGTGCTGATAGAATAATAAATGGCAGGCTAATTACCATCATAAAGCCAAGGATCCCTCTTCTTACCGAACAACTCAGTCAAAAGGGTTTTCCTCTAAATGAAGTTTTTAACTGTCATCTGTCATCTGTAGGTATAATTATAACTTGGGCATTCTGCTGTATTGTTCTGGTCTGAAAATGTCTACAGAGAGAGAAATCGTGAGGAGAAGGAGAGGAGTCGTGGTGAATTCTTAAAAACGCTAAATGACTGTGCAGCTTTGTAATTAATCAAAGGGACCAATGGAGAGTTGAATGTGGGGTTTGAAATGAAGTGACCTATCTTCGTCAATTAATGAGTTTGTACAGGAATGAATGGGAATTATCTTAATAAATGGAACGCTCAAAAGGGCAGTATTCAGTTTGAAGGTACCACTGCTTCACTGAGTTACCAGTTGTGAAGTCAGTGCAAACTCTTCTGTTACAATGTATTTTTTTTTCCTTTTGGGACAGTAATATTTTATACTTTAAAGGGCCTATATTACGCAAAATTGACTCTTGTGAGCTTTAAGCCATGTTAAAATGTTGTTACCTCCTCAAAAACATAGCCGGAGTTGTGTTTTGTTTCTTTCACACATGTTTGAGTAATGCAGCATTATTAGTCTCCATTTCCAGTTGTGACGTCATGAAGCTGTACTTTTCAAATAAACATCTCTTTTTGCCTTTTGTTCAGTAGAGATTGGAAATTCCAGGTCTGAAATTATCCAAATCTATTTTCTGTTTTAATCTACACAGCTCCAGGTTTGTTTTTGATGAGCCAACAACATTATAACAGATCAAAAATTATATAATATGCGCCCTTTAAGACCATTGCACATAGAGTAGTCTATTAAATCAGGTTTTACAGTTCTGGAGAGTGGAAGCAGCTTTGATAGATTACGGCTTTTGTTGGATTTGGGTAGGTAAGGTAAGTAAGGTACTCTTTTAGATAAAAAAAAAAAATAATAATAATAATAATAGAAAACTCATAAGAACATTTTCAGTTAAAAGTAATTGTTTGATTTGCTTAACTTTTGTTTAACTAAAAAGCCATTCTGGTCTCCTCATTTTGCTGTCCACGGATATTTCCTCAACTTTCCAGAGAGACATAGACAGATCATAGTTTGAAAATTGTGTAGGCCTAAATGTTATGTGAAAGAGTAAGATATTTCAGAAATTAAAGTTGCATTAACATCCCATTTTGTTAAAGGTGCATTGTGTAACTTTTCTGGTGGAGGATCCATCACCTGCTTGTTTCTATGAATATGTCATTGCTCTATCTGGAATGTTACACAGTATGACATTAAACGGCTCTGTCTTATATTTATTCAGTTACAGGCCTTTTTATAGCTCAGAAATACCTAGAAAAAGGCAAGGCAAGGCAAGTTTATTTGTACAGCACAATTTGTACACAATGTAATTCAAAGTGCTTTACAGAATAAGAAATACATTAAAAGCACAATAAAAACAAATTAAAACATAAATAATCATCATAAAATTTAAAAGAGAGCGAGGCATTAATTACATAAATTAGAGAGAAGAGTGTGGAATGAAAACCTTTCAGTCATATGCACGCATGCTAAACAGAACCGTTTTGAGCCTGGATTTAAACAGCGTCAAAGTACTGGCCTGTCTCACTTCTTCAGGAAGACTGTTCCAGGTTTTCAGACTGAACGGAGCTGCCTCTCTACTAGGGATGAAACAATAACCAAAATACCGTGATATTGTATCGTCATATATATTGAATCATAACTTTCTTTGCTTAAATTCATTGTTATGGTGCAGCAATAGCTAAAAAAAAAAAACAGAGGGTACTACATCAACCATGATCCTTTGCTTTGTTTTGGTGCAAACTACATGAAAAAATAACTGTTTTAAGCACTTTTAAACCTTAGATAGTTAGTTTGAATTAAGGCATTTTAAGAGGAAAAGTAGCATATAAATGCCGTACCATGAGATGTGTATCATGCAAATATTGTGCCGTGAGATTTGAATATCGTTACATCCCTACTCTCTGCTGTAACTTTGTCTAGTTTGGTCTCCAAGGTCGAAAGGTTTAATGCCATACTGTGAAACATTCCAGACAAAGTAATAACATCTCCATGGAGAAAAGCATTTGATGGACCCTCCACCAGAAATGTTACACAATGCACCTTTAACACTTGGCTGTCTCCTCCAGTGCTCTGACTAAGATCATCAAGACTGGCTACGCGGCTCTACAGCTGGAATACTTCTTCACTGCGGGCCCGGATGAGGTGCGGGCCTGGACTATACGGGTAAGAGACAACAGCCAATCAACATCCACAGTTCCACGCTGCTGCTGCCGCCACCCGCTCCCATATCACACTCTCTCAACTTTGTCATGGTGCTGCTTTAGCCGGTCATTACAGGCCAGGGATAACTTCAATTTACTGGTGAGGCGCTGAACGGTGAAACTGGGGACCACATTGATTGAGGAACAGCAACAATTGATTTTGCCCATTACGTGCGTGAGAATCTTTCCATCCGGCACCAATCGGACGGCCTCCTCCTGCCGTTGGAGATAAGGCGAGGAGCATTGTGGCTGCTTAATCTGTGTGACGAAGGGTGTCTGTGCTAGAATTGATGTGCTCTTTCATTGGAGAGTTTGTGGGGCTCACGGGGGCTCCTCCTCTTGCTGTGTCCCCCCCGTGTCTCCCCCCCTTGGCCAGTCCGCACGCTGTTCTGAGTCCACGCGGTTTCACACAGGTTACATCAATACAGGTGTTGGATTTACATGCTCGTATTGTGCTAACATGCAGACACTGGTGCTATTTTTGCAAACACTGGGAATGTAATAGACGACTCATGTCCAAGTTTATTAGATTATCATACGTGTGATTTAACACATGTCGTCTTTCCTCTCCTATTTGAGCTTATATAAGAAAATCTACATTAAGTGTGCTGGATACATGCATACTTACTTGCTCAAAATAAATAAATGAAATTAAATGAAATTGCAAATAAAAAAAGAAAAAAATATTATGAATAGCATCTAATTATATAGATATGATATGTAGGTTTATATGTACATTAGGTTTATGGATTTGTGCAATTTAAAATTTTAAGTCAATCATGATTTTATGTCTGAATCAAATTATTCTAGTATAAATAAGCAATTCTTTATTCTACAAAGTTTGACTCATACAATTTAATGCACGTGGAAATCAATTAACACTTTCTCAGAGTCCTGCTGTTTAGCCTTAACCTACTACTTAGGAATTACTACTGCATTCTATTGAAAGCAGTGGATCAATTTTAATTTTCAAGTAATTATAAATATCTTTAATTCATATACAGTTTTGTTATTTATTAATTTAATAAATATTTTTTTTTAGTAATTACATGCTTGTAGTTGTAATGGCCATCTGTTTTGTCAGCATCATAATGGGATTGAAGTACCTTTGGAAATGTACTAATAAAGCAGCATTAATGTAATAAAATATACGTCATGTTTCATTGATGTAAAAGACAGAAGAGACAACTTGGCCTATGTAGGATTTACAAAATGAAATGAAGATTTTGGTGCAAGGATTTTAGTTTAAGTACAGGTGTCCAAATTACAGCTTCATATTTCAAACGTCTCATTTCTTAATCCTGCGCCCCCCTCCCTGTAGTTAAATGGTTGAAATAGCTCCAGTGTACATTTCTATGTATTAAAACCTTCTTTGAATATTCTTGAATATTCTAAGATTGTGTAAAAAACTAATCTTACTTAGTTATATTCACTAGAGTAGGCCAAGATTTACAAATTATAATGATTTTTGATGTGTCAATTTTTGTATGAATTAAAATACTTACACAGTATAATTACTAAAGCAATATTACTAAAGCATAATTCAAAATCAATTTATGTTACTGAACTGTAACAGTGACTCTTTGTCTGCACTTGTAAATAGTTCATATAGTTTAATGTAAAATTCATAAGAAAGCTCATTGTATTAGATTAGAAGAGGGAGTGGGATTCAATAATTTTTCTTCTTCCTACTCCTTTTTGGGCCAATTTTTTATTTATTTAATTTTTGTTGTTGTTATTTCTGCTATGATTTCATTAATGTTATGTTCCGTTGTAAAAGAATGTACATTTCTTACTTGCTCAAAATAAATACATAAATCTCAAAAAAATTATCTTAAACTCAAAACTCAGAAATCAAATGTTATAATTTTGCTAACAAATATGTATGTCCCCTCTGGAATGCCCATATTAACTGTGAACTTTTAAAATATAAAGAGAAAGTTTGTAAGCAAGAGTCAATCATGAGACTGTGTAAACCCTTAAGCAGTGTCAGCTGTTGTCCCCTGAGTCTGCTGACTGACTTCATGGTGAATTTGTAGGGACAATACATATAGCTATCCATATTTTGAATTTCTCATTTTCTTAACCACCTCCCTCTTTTCTCTTCAGCTCATTAGACTTTACCACTGGACCTGTAAAGCTAGTCTTTAATAGTGTTTACGGCTCACTGTTTACAGGCCAGAGCAGGACATGAGCTCACCGCATTTGTGTAGTATTTTTTACGGGACACATTACATTCTAGTGCAGTGACATCAACAGTGTTTTTGAGTGATTGTAGCTTTGGCTGTTTACTCCCCAAGTCCCTCACACTTCAAAGCCTCTCCTCTTACACATAAGCGATTACACCAGGCCTTGATTGTGTGCGAAGAGCATTTAGTCAGGTAAGCATCACTGACTAACTATATTAAGCCAATACATCTTGCATTGTAAAAACTCCACTCAGTAATGTCGTGTACCCAAATCCTTTAACATGCTTTATTAGGCAGCCTCGAGGTGACCATTATCTATCAGCTCCCTCTGCATAGCTCTTAACTAGGACAATGTGGCTCTCTTGTAGTGCACCTTATGGAAAAAAAATCCACCCTTAATCTATTTTTCTCAGCATAGACAAACCTTGATGCTGATTAATGGTAGTTAAACTGGCGAGCGCTCCGTCAATGAGATTGCGAAGAGATGGTAATGTATTAGAGTCATTAAATACGCATCATTCTTTTGGCATGAAATATGTTGACCCCAACCTGATTATATACATAATTAAAAGTGCTCACCAGTTCCTGAGCACAGACGCAGGAGCCAGAGAGCAGACAGGAGTGATGCACTACACACACGTCAGTTACGCACATCATTTGTCATTCACGCCCGGCGTTCTTTCAGACGCATATAAATCACACACTTTTATCAGGCCACACTCCAGTTGGGACTCAGAGCTGCATTCTGTCTGTAGGTGTAAGATTTAATATGGTTAATTATGCTACTGCTACCCAATAAAATTTTACTTTTTGGAATTTATTGGTAACGTCAAATGTATTAACTTGTGTCGTAATGTACCAAGATTATTTATGTTCTAATAAAAAATATGATTCTGCATGTCAAGTGAAAGCTCTCATTACAAAACAGAATTCCTGTTATATACAAGGCCAGGTTGTGCCCTGCATTGAGCCCAAAGTTGCTCTGGATCACATCTCCTGCTCCAGGGGTGACAAACTCAAATTCACAGTGGGCCAAAATTAAAAACTGAGACTAAGTTATGAGCTAAACTAAATATTTATTGAAATATTTCAACAACATCTGCATGTTTTCTCTTGTAATGTTAATGATATGTAATGTTAAACCTTTTCTTATTAAAATAAATGTTTAATAATAGTTTTGCTTAAACATTGAATCCAGAACAAGCATAATATAACAACATTTTAAATAAATAATGTTTCTATAGCCTATCTGTAGCCAGTAGGCCAGCTCTAATACATATTTGATATGATCTTGTGGGCCAAATATAATTATATCGCGGGCCAAATTTGGCCCCCAGGCCTGAGTTTGACATGTCTGTCGTACTCTCTCTGTGTTACAGTGAGGTATTCTTGTTGACATTTGCTTTCTGTTGGTATAACCTATAAAAAACCTATAATAACCTCCTATATAAAATAATAATAATAATACAATTTTAAAAATCCAAACATAAATCAAGGTACTTATTTTGTTTAATTTTATTTTAGTGGAGAATTGTCAGATATACTGTACATTATACTATTACATTTGGACACTCAACACACTTTACATTAAGGAATTTGATGTGAAGTGTCTTGCTCAAGGACACAATAACAGTGGGAGTGGGATTTGCACCACCAAACCAGTCTCCAAACACTGCACTACCTGGGCTAAGACCATGAATGTAAATTGTATTTTAGTCCACTTGTTGTGTTGATTGCATAAAGCTCATGTATCTCAGAGTGCCTATAGGTGCTGCCCATAATGCTGTAGGGTCCTGTGCCCTGGCCCCTGTCTGCTCACCGGGTCTCAGTGTTCTGACCACAGAGCAGGGCAGCGACCCACAATGAGCACAGATTGCTTGGACAGAAATCAATACCTCCAGGGGATGGGAATCACACATGCATTGATAGCAGCGCTGCTGTCTTATCTGTGTCCAGGCTGGCCTAGCGTGGGGCACAACCGACTGGAAAGCTATCCTCAAATCAGCAACCCCCGAACCAAACCCACCTCCCTGCACTGCTCCGTCCACTATCGCCCTATCAAACAGCATGTCCGGCACGCGGCGCAATCCATCTTCCAGCAAAACAATTCACTGTCCTCTCTCTCTTCTTCTTCTCCTCTTTGTGACAGAAAGGAACCAAGGCTCCACAGGCTGCGGGGAAGATCCACACCGACTTTGAGAAGGGCTTCATTATGGCCGAAGTAATGAAATTCCAGGATTTTAAAGAGGAAGGCAGTGAGAACGCTGTCAAGGTGAGCCCGAGCCCAGACGAGCAGTAGTCTCCAGTGATCAGTGAAGAAGACAGTTCACCTTTACTCAGGGGAAGGAATTACCGCGCACCACTTCTGACAAGCTGGGCCTAAACAGTGGCAGGGCGCTCCAGCTGTGCATATCTTATCACAATGTGTCTTAACTGGCGGCTGGAAGCACTTGTTCACCTCTCCACGCGTTTAGCACATCTATAGAGACACTGCCGGCTCAGAGCACGGAGTTACACGGGCGCAGGTCTGTGACAGTGATGTAAAGAGGCGAGTTAAACAAAGTGTGAAATGCTCCAAATGAAAAGTGCGCCATGGATCAGGACCACAGGAATGGGCTTGTATGGCTCATTTTCATTATGGACACTCACTAGTTTCAATTGGAGAAGGTCTGGGGAGTTTATACGTGTACTTTGCCACATTAAACACATTAGTATATTCACTTTTACATCGAGATTATTTCAGTTTTTGGTGACATGTGCTGCTGTTGAAGTATGTTTTGTATACCAACACACATCTAATGTCAGCAGAGTTAAATAGTTGTAATGTAAGTTTATTAAAGTGTATTAAAATTCTTAACTAACTAACTAGGAATCATACTGAATTTTGATTTGTCACTTTTTATATCTATTAAAATACTTATAATTACTAAAGCAATATTCAGAAATCTTATAATTTTGCAAACAAATATGTATTTCCCTTCTGAAATGCTCATATTAACTGTGACCTTGTTTCAATTAAGAGAAACTCTGTAAGCAATAAAGTGAAGCAAGGGTCCGTTAATGACATGAGACTGTGTAAACCCTTTAGCGGTGTCAGCTCTAGTCCCCTGAGTGCGCTAACTGATTTCATGGTGAATTTGTAGGGACAATACGTGGGTGTGACCTTTGGACAACAAGCCCACTCGATCCTATAAAACTGACAAAAACATATATTTGATACTCATAGTTTTAACATTAGTCTGTAATTTCATAATCAAAGTGTACACAGTGTATAATCAACACTGTAGGGAGCCATTTGCTAAAGATGACTTTTTATTCGATTGAGTGTAGTCCTTCTTAGTCATGTATGTTATCTAGTACTATCGCTAATGTAATTATGGTGCATTCAAACGTCAGACGGCCACTTTAAACCTATGAAAACATGAAAATCTATTTACTATTCAAGCTTTTTAATGGGTATTTGATATTTAATGCAGTGCCCATGTATTGTCCACTCCCCCCATAAGCTCCAAACAGTGGGTGAAACGCTCTGGTCTCTTGGGGATGTCTGACCATTGTGAGAGTACGAGACCATCTCCGTGTAGCGCTCTCTTGCCTAATCCCTTACAAGAACACGCAGCCTATAGCATTAAGGCCCTATGCTATTTAACGCCAGTTGTGGGAATATAGGCCCAGTCTGAATGAGGGGGCCAGTGTATGGGGGATATCACATTATTAGTAATCATATCTGCTTAAGCCAAGCTCGCTGCTCCAGATGGCTGCTTTCAAGTGCAAATGAACCAGTTAGCCGTTTCTGCTTTAATACATACTAGCGGATCACAAATAGCCATTGATTCCCCCCTCCCCTCTCTCCCTCTCTCTTTCTCCCTCTCTCTTTCTCCCTCTCTCTCTCTACTGTTTCTGAGTATCGAGCCCGGATTAAATGGTCTCCTGAGCGTTTTAAAGCCACATTGATTCTTCTAATTAATTGTGCGCCGTGCAGAACCAGAATGCATAAACCTGTCCGTGGTAGCACTTCAAGTCAATTATAGCAAGTTGACAAGGCAAGGAGAACAAACACTTAGCATACACAAAGGGAATCAGAGAAGTTACGCACGTTTCCTGGAGAAGTTGGATGGTGTATTTAATCAAAGGCGTGGTGAAATTGTAAGATTGGGCACAAACTGGGCAGGGGGCGGGATTACGGGCTCTGCGGGGAGATCAGAGCCCCCCTCCTCAGTCAAACATGGATACAAGTGTTCAGTGGGACCACATACTGCATGACATTTGCTCTCAGCTGGTTAAAGAGCAGCTAAGCAAATGTAAGCGTGTGAGGGGGATTAAAGGGGGTGTACGTACATGTGTTTCCAGATTTGGTCTCTGTGTCTTTTTTCTTTCCTATGCAATGTTCTACAAGTTTACATTCAACAGTTTAGACAGACTTGGACAAACTTTATTGATCCACAAGAGACATTATTTGGACACAGTAGCTCACACATCACAATAAATTATAATAAGAGCAAAAATATAAATGGTAATAATAAATTCAAAGTAAGTATCGAAAATTGATTGAAAATTGACATGTACAAACGTTTATACTTAATTTCTTCTGAATTTATAAAGCTTGTTTTTTTCAAATTTTTCACAAATAACTTTGAAATCTATTCCTATTTTAGAAGAAAAATGAGATAAGGGCTTCTAATAGTTTGCTTGGGATCCAGAATACACGCTTTTCCAATACAGAGAGAGAGAGATATCATTCTGGACTTTACAAACAAACAAATCATAGCTTATGGACTTCGTTTAGTTCTTTTTATTCATGTGAATTCTGCATTCAGACTACATGGTATATTTTACACACTGGCAAAATTTGTAACAAAAGCCACTTTTATAGAACTATTATGGACACTTGAGACAGCCACTTTCAACACACGGATTGCCTTTTTCACTGCTTTAAGATGAAACAACAGCAGTGAAAAATACTGAATGCGGGCAAATATACAAGCTCCTATACACATGTGGAAGTTGTATTTTTCATGCAGTTGGTGTGATCGAGGAAATCTTCAATACTTCTACTCTGCATATTCTTATCAAAACTAAATGTACATATAATTTAGACATTGTGAATGACAAAGGTGTATATTTTCTAATCATACATTTCTCTGTTTTTTTGCAGGCAGCTGGCAAGTACAGACAACAGGGCCGCAACTACATCGTGGAAGATGGCGACATCATCTTTTTCAAATTCAACGCACCCAACGCTCCCAAGAAGAAGTGATAGAGACAGACCCACTCTACCTTTTTATTCTTCCTACACATCACACCTCTTCTGTACTCCTCTGTATTTCTGTATTTGTCCACCATGACTACTTTTCGCACCCACCCTTGTACATATCATATAACATCTGACAGGACCCCCCATCCCTTACTCCCAGTCCCCACTCCAGTATTTGAAGCAGCGTATTACTCTCCAGATACTTCATTAATCTCCATCACAGTTGCCAGCGGGTGACACAGCTGACAGGGGGGGACAAAAGCACCTGCTCCTCCAGCCCGCACCGCCAGATAATACGTGTTTTACAGTAGCCCAGACGTTGGTACTCAATAAAACATTTGACAAAAAAGGCGATTTGGTTGTGTTGTGGGATGTCTGTATCGAGTGGGGGACGGAGATAGCGCCTCTGCCCAGCGCTGATTAGAGAATTAAAAAGACACAGCTGACATTGACTGCGGCGAAGGCAGAGACAGAGGGGACACAATCACAGTGTTACGTGTTAAGTGAAGGCTGATTTTAGAAGGGCATATGCACAGAGCAGGTGTGAGGGGCTGAGGGCCGGGCTGTGTGCTGATATGTGCAGAGGCTGGGTTACATGTGGAGCTACAAGTTGTAACTAAAGAAAAAAAAAACACAAAAATGAATTTACATTTTCTAGTTATAAAATCTGTATTTATAAATTAAGTGCCATATTAATTATAGAATTTCTGTCTTTTATCTTATTTCCATACATAGATACGTAGATCTGCTCACTAAAGTTAAAAATTCAAAATCATTATATAAGAGACTAAGGTAGAGTTAGACTTCGATTTAGACTTAGATTTCGACTTTATTGATCCACAAGGGAAATTGTTTGTCATTATTTGAACACTGAAGCTCACACATCACAATATATTATCATAACAAAGTGCAAAAAATATAAGTGGTAATAATAAATTCATAAAAAAGTTGTAGAAATAGCAAGAGACTAAGTATTGTATATGCACAAGAAAATAAAAATATAGAAATATAATAAATATCTCAGCTATATAGAAGAGGTTATAAGGAGAAACCGTGATTGACATGACACAAGGTTATCGATTACATAAGGGTGTGTTATTGTACAGTTGTATGGAGTCTGGTATGAATGTAGTCCTGTATCTCTCACTGTATGAGCCTGAAAAATACAACAAATTACATACAAATTGCATCGGGCATGTACCTTTAAGAAGTACTATGTTCAGTGGTGTGCACATGAATGGAGAAGAAACTATGGCGTGTATTCCATGCCATAAGTGACATTTTTTACCCCAAAATTGAATTATTCCTCGAAATTAAATCAAGAAACTCTTGTGGAAAACATTGGTATCCCATATTGTCTCCTGTCATATATTGCTGTCCATATTGTCTCTGCATTTCTATATTACCAAGAGACTTAAACATAGAGCAGCTCAGTTTTACGCTACTCCTACATTTTCACTGGGACCTCCCTTGTTGGATTTAGATTTTCTTGCTCCCATCCCTGAACAATGCAAATACACAGCGAATAAACCAGGATATCCATTCAAACCAATTTCTTCCACCAAAAACTCAACTCAATTTTATGAAATTTTGAAGGTATGAAAATAGAAGTTGGTCCAATCCGTAGTGGTTCTGTCGCAGAAAAGGATTCCTGTTGTCTGAAGTAGTGTTTTTCCAGCCCTATACTTTGAGCGTGAGTGTTTGTGAAGCGTTTATGCTGATGGAATTGTATGGCTGCTCCAAAAGTAAGATTGTATTCTCGGCGGGAGTCCGAACAAAGAGGCGCGGATCAGCGGTGCTTTGCTGAATATCTTGTAACCATTAAGACCGCCGAGAACAAAATGGCCTTTTGATGGGAACAAAAAAGATTGAATAAAAATGGTGATTCTTTTTTTCTTTTTTTCAGACGATAGCATTGCATATCCAAGTTTGGGATGGGGGTAGTTGATGGAGTCGAAGCCTGTGCTAGCATCATAGAGGATAGTGTTTGTGATGGAAATAAGATGGATTATAGTTTTTAAGGTTTGAGATCAGTGGCAAAGTATAGGAGTGTATTTATTGTGGTGCGATGGAAAGAAAAACAGATGACAACATGAGTAACATTTGGAAATGCTTTGTGCAATAACCACTGATTGTAACTACACCCACCAGAGCCAAGAAATGCTTCACATACTAAGTTCTGTAGCAGTTGTAGTGCACCAGGACTGTGTGTGTAAAAATATGTGGTGGAGTAAAAGGACATTTTTGAAAGTCTGTGTACAGTATGTGTGTGGTTCATATACAAAGTGCATATTTTTACCTGGCTCCCATAGGCTCTTGTGACCAATACACTATTAAAGGGCCCATATAACACTATTTTATGATTTCTGTTATAATGTTTCCTCGTCACAAACATACCTGGAGTTATGTTTTGTTTCATTCACACATGTTTAACACAAACTGCATATTTAAGATGAGTTCACTCTGTTCCACCTTGTGATGCCAGGTGTTAATACAGGAAGCGCTCCACTTAGTCTCCAAACTTCATACACCTTCACTAAATCATGTGCGTAATTTCAGCCCTGGAGTTGCCAATTTCTACTGATCTAAAGGTAAAAGGTTAACCAGGCTGGCGCCACCCAGTGCCTCCGCTCAATTACATTTCTCTCAAGCGACTAGGTCAGGAATCGGTATACACTAGACGGTTTGTAAGAACCCCGGAAGTTGTAGACCACACGCCAGCCATTCAGTGAAGAGCTGTGAAACAATGACTGGGGCCTTTTTTGTGGTACAGCACAACAAAGTGGTCGAGATGGATGTAGACGAAGCCATACATTCTTGTTGTTTGGTGAATTTTTTCAAGGAGAAAGACGTTATTGCCCTTCTTCCTATGGAATTTGGGAAAAGCTTAATATACCAGTTTGCCCCTTTAGCGACACATTACATATGTCATGACCAAATAGCAGCGAATGGTTAAATAAAAAAACTAATCCTAATGCTACAAGGTCAGACGGTTTCCACGAAGAGAAACTGGCTGATGAATCAGGCTTGTAAAAGGTAGCTCTTAACTTAAAAATGTCTGTTTCATGACATCAGAAGGTGGAACAGAAAATTTTGACCTTTGAAGATGCAGACAGACTAATAATAAAGGGTTACTCAAACATGTGTGAATGAAACAAAACACAACTCCAGGTTTGTTTTTGAGGAGGTAACAAGATTATAACATCGCTTAAAGCTCACAAGAGTCAGCTTTGTGTAATATAGGACCATTATTAACTCTAGCAATGCCTCAAAAGTTATAACAGATGATTTGGCTAAAGATTTCAGTAATATAAATGAAGTTCATCTGACAAAAGAGTCCAAAGAGATAGGAGGTAAAGAGGAAATTGATTGCTCTGAGTAGCGTCAAAAACAAAGTGAAGGCAGCTGCTGAGCTAACAGTTTTTGCATTCTTCCCATGATAGTTTTGGTGCCATTGGTCGACCTAAACCCACAGCCGAGATTGTTCATGTACCACAGTGGAGGCCATTGAAGACTCATTCCCAGTGGTCCAGTTGTGGGGCTTTTTGTTTTTCATAAAGTGACAGTAAATCTTGTAGAGAATAAGAAAGCTATTTATGGCTGTGAGTTCACATGAGGGCTGAACTGAATTTACTTAATTATTGAGTAATAAAATCCTCAAAATCAATATCATCTTACATTTAGCAAGACACAGATGGACTATTTGAGGATTTATGCATTTGTGTTATAAACCTACTTCTTTTTAGGTGCACTCTCTTACTTTATTTTTATATTATTTATTTAATATTTGACAGGGACAATGCAGTCATACATAGTCAAGGGCAGAGCATATAGTGTGTAGTTAGTGCTAATTCTCATCTCCTGTCCCTAGCTGGGTTTTTCTTTACACTTTTTACTTCTCAAAACAGCTTAAAAACATCATCTTTAAACACTTTTTTTATTTTGTTTTATTTATTTAATTTTTCACAGCAGTGCCGTTTCAACATTCCCACGTTCAAACACACGCACAATGCAATACAATATTTACAGGTGGGTTCAACTTTGGTTAGTGTCTGGTGCAATAATAGCATCGTAGACACCTTTAATTCCTTTTTGTGGAACATCCTAGCAAAGTAATAACATCACCATGGAGACAAGCAGGTGCTGTTTTGTATACCATCCAACAGAAAGGTTACATAGTGCACCTTGAAGTTCAATAATATGTAAATGTATCAAAGTATTCTCAAAAGCAACACTACTTTGACCAAGTTAGTACCATGTGATTCTACATTCTACATAAATGAACTATTTTGATGAGCTCCATGGTCACCCACTGTTGTCATAAATCTCCCGTACACCAAAGAACTGAGGACCAAGAATGCTACAATGAATGAATAAACATGAAAACCAGCTTCAGTTAGTACGCACCAGGGACTATGGAGAAATGCTTTGGTTATTATGAAAGCATTGCACTGGTGAAAGAAATTATCTCTTATTTTGGAAGACAATAAAACGTTGCCATGTTGTAATTATTGCCATTGTGGGGCCACATAGCTACACACTGAATACAATAGACCTGAACTGAATATAGAACGGAGATTTGACCATTTAGATGTTCATTGGTATGCAGTGATTTCCTTGTATCTTGTATAATGACGGAATTAGTACTTTGATTTACGGCATCCTTAGTAAAGTTAATAAGCAGTATTGAGCCGTATCTGTGGTGAGTGTCATAAACAGCTTGGAGCATCTCATAAAGACATGACAAATGGAATATCTCTCAATCACAAAAGGTGACAGCGCAAAATATACAGCCATACATTTCACAAGGGCATTTCTCATTAAAGAGGAATCTGGAGTGTTAACTCGTCAAAGCTTTTACAGTACAGTTTATGCCTTATAAAGTGCATGTGCAGAATTTTACAGCTCTGGGGTTGGGATGTTGCTCATGTAAATACATCAAACCATCATCACTACATTTGAATGAGTAAACACTTGAAATACATTTACAACTATGCACTTTTCTGTTAAATGGACCACAACAGATGTTTATATACAGTACACATTGTAAAGCTATTGTTATACATTGTGTGCAAAATGAGATTTGAAACTCTGAGGGCTGTATGGTTTGGACAATCATTTTTTTAATATAATGTGCATGAAAACTATTTTAACCATTAATCATTTTAGAATAACTAAAACATGAATGATCTCTGACACTTGAACATGATTTTTTTTTACTGGCCCCTTGTGGATAGAGTTGGTATCTTTGGTCTAGATGGCTAAAGTCTTCACTGGACTGTCCATTCTGTCCTGGCCCTTTTCAATATAAAATAAAAAATCAGAACCCCTGTGTATTTACTTATTAA